ATATATATATTCTCATCCACCTCCCATTCTCCTGGACAGGGTGGGTGTCTCTTCATCTCAAGTTTGGCTCCTCTACCTGGGAGTGTGAAGTCAGTGTTTGTGTTTTCATGTTGCATCATGACTGTGGTCTGTGTGTCTTTATTCACCTGTGTTTATTTCTGAGCTCAGCTTCTCTCTGCTTCCTGCTCCCTTACCTCAAATGTGTCCACTGTCTGTACTCTGAGTGTTGGTGCATTGTTTATTGCTGGTGTTGGTCTTTCTGTGTCCTGCTCTCTGTGAGTTCACCCTGTTAAGTAATAAGTTAAAAGTTTCAGGTGTTTTTGAGACCTGTGAGTTTCTGTTAATAAAGATTTTTTTAAAATGCCCGCTTGGTTGGGCATTACCATTTTGTCTATTTAAATCTGKAAGTCCTACAGGATCTTAGCTTGGTGGTTCCCACTTTGATTCAGGGGGGTCCAGGTTATACTCTTCACAGATGTTTCTGTACAATAAACCAGCCACATTTTCTTTTTCTGCCAGTATATTACATCCTGCTGTTAAATGCTGGATAGTTTCTGAAACTTCTTTACACAGCCTGCACCTGCTTGTCTGGTAGATCTGGGCCTCAATTGCTCTTGTACTGCCATGCATTAAGTATAGGGGGCCTTCATGAGTTTGGGGATCCCAGACTGAAGCATTGAAGACCCTTGGTGTATGCAGTTCTTTGAGTCTCAGAGCTTTTGAAACCTTGTCAGATATAAGCAGTGGTGGGCACCAGCCCACTAAAGAGCAAATCCACTAATTGCGGACCTAAATATGTCATTTGCGCTTTAGCGGTCTTACTAATTTTTATAATTCATAAGCAGATTTGCATTTTCTAAAATTAAAATGCAGTACTGCTAATAACTAATTATCTACCAGTCATCATTATGTTGAACAGCAGAAGGTATGACTGTCAATGAATCACAACACATGTGATCTATCCAACAGCACCCCTCCCAGATAAACACACTTATTGTGAAGGTATACATCCTGTTGACTGTGGCTTTGGGCCACGGTTCTGATTTCCCACAATGCTTTGTGTCTGCTTAACATAGCAGGAAGGCAATAGCAAAAACAGTAAACGTTTGCAATCCATACTAAAATTTTGTATGTATTGATTTATTTTACTTTACAATCTGAGCTCCTTTAAAAAAAACGTTTGAACGCTGGAGCTCAAAAGCAATCGGATAACGGGTGTTAGAGACTCAGAAATGATTTAAAGATGTTATGCTGGTGAAGACTGACATCTAGTGGTCATTTGGCACAACTACATGGAAAACGTCCTAATCCAGGTAGAAAAAATCAAAGACAAAAAATAATTAGGTCCTCTGGATGGTTCTTCTTTAGTGAACCGTTTTGTCTCTCCTCCAAGAGAC